ATTCCACTGTCAGAGATAGGCGACATTCTCCTGTTAAGCTTTAGTGCCCCTCTTTTGTGTAGAAAGATACTTTTTTCCTCCTTGTTCTTCGCTTGTGCTCTTCTTCTTGCATTAGAGGCATTCTACTTTCTGAGATAGGTGGCATTCCCCAAGCTTCAGTGCACTTCTTTTGTGTAGAAGAAGTTGCGATGAGAGGCGATCTTCTAAATAGACAACCCGTGATAGAAGGAGATCAATTGCTGCTTGTATGCAAGGGTGATTTAAGAAGACCTAATGGTGATATTATCTTGGAGGAGAACCAGAAGTGATGAGTAGATGGGGAGAATTTTGATGTTGTTTGAGTGGAAGTCTGTCAGCGATGGACGATCGAGTTGAAGCCCATTAGCAGTTAACAATCGAGTGTAGAGCTGAAGGAGAGAGTTCGACGGTGTGCTGTAAGTAGCAGTCAAGTGAGAAGTCGATGATGGCCGATATGAAGTGAAGGGTCACCAGCAAATATCAGATGAAGGTGCAATGATGGCGGTGGTTCTGTTGCATTCTGCTGAGGCGATATATATATATATATATATATTCATATCGACATGTGCAGACATCAGATATTTCTTTCTTTGAAGAAGAAGAAGTTGTAGGAGATATTTGTGTGTAGCAGAGAAGAAGTCACTTAAATCCACCAAGGATTTTTGACTATTATAAAGTTTCTTGTTTCTTTATGATGGTATTTTGTACGAATGATGCCAATGTACTTTTTAATCTCAACTTCTAGTAAGAATAAATGTACATCTGAATATGAATTTATGTAACTCCATTGATGTTGTATATGAAATTGAGAACTTGTTCCTTGGAGAAAGTTGAATTGTGATTGCATACATGCTTTTGATACATTGCCCCTCATATTTTTGGAGGCACTGTTAGACTGCTAAGGTCTTTATATGAGTGATGATTTTATCAATCACTTGCTTTCTTGGAGTCTTTATAGATAGACCATTATTACTCAGAACATTGCTCGATGATGTTAACCTTTGTAGAAGAGGTCGAGAGAATACATCAATAACGTATGACCTATCCGAGGTTGTATGTCAGTGCCCTGCTCGATGACGTTAACCTGTGTGGAAGAGGTCGAGAGAATCCACCGATGATGTAAGACCTATCTGAGGTTGTATGTCAGAGCCTTTCTCGATCATGTTAACCTGTGTGGAAGAGGTCAAGAGAATCCACCAAGGATGTAAGACCTATCCGAGGTTGTATGTCAGAGCCCTGCTCGATGACGTTAACCTGTGTGGAAGAGGCCAAGAAAATTCACCAATGATGTAAGTCCTATATGAGGTTGTATGTCAGAGCCCTGCTAGATGACGTTAATATGTGTGGAAGAGGTCGAGAGAATCCACCAAGGATGTAAGACCTATCCGGGGTTGTATGTCAGAGCCCTACTCGATGACATTAACTTGTGCGGAAGAGGTCAAGAGAATCCACTAAGGATGTAAGACCTATCCGAGGTTGTATATCACAACCCTACTCGATGACGTTAACCTGTGTAGAAGAGGTCGAGAGAATCCACCAAGGATGTAAGACCAAATCTCCCTCGGATTGATCATTTGGTGATTGAGATACAATATAGATTGTATATTTCTTGAATCATGGAAAAAGAGTTTGAGAAGTTTTTTATCTTTTATAAGAGAAAATAATATCACAATAACATGAACATCATATTACTGTATTATGTAAGCAATACAATAATTCCATAGTATGATTTAGGGATATATAAGTTACAATGACTCAACATATAAGATATACGTATGGGTATAATATAATATTTAACTTGGAAGAAGACATTAAAGATATCAAAGTGACACCCTACTCAACATAAAAGAGACAACAAGACAAGTAGTATTGCTAATACAAATGCACGAAGTGCGTGATCATTCAATCTCTCCAACCATTTGAATATTATTCAATGGTTGTCTTTGTTGTTGATTTTGCCCCCCAGCGAGACGAGCTTCCTCTCGGGTAGGTGAATCTTGAATAAATTATCGAAGGTAACCCTGGCGGATAAGTCTTTCAATCTCATTCTTGAGTTGCTTACATGCTTCGGTAGTGTGACCACGACTAAGATGAAAGTGACAGTACTGATCTGGATTTCCTGTGTTCGACTTCAAAGGATTCAACCATTTTAATGTATCTTGATCTCGAACGGCCATCAATACATTTGTTCGAGATGTGTTGAGTGGGGTATACTCCTTCTCCTGTCAAGGTTCCCATCGCAATAATGAAGGCCTAGGAGGAAAATTATTCTTCCCTTGCTTTTTCTGTTGTGAGAATGAATTGTCCATCCCAGGTGCACCTTTGTGCTTCTCATTGGTTTGCTCAAACTGCTTCCTATGAGCATTTATGGCCTTATTTGCAAAGATTTGCGCCTCCACACGATGGATCAGATCGGCATATGAATGAACAGTGTCGCCCATGAGTGCTGAATAGAAGGGTCCAGGACGAAGGCCTCCAAGAAAGACCCCTCTGAGTAATTCAGGGTCTACTCCTGGAATTTATCGAGCCTCGGTGGAAAACCGTTGAAAATACTCCTTCAACGATTCTCCCTCATTTTGGCGGATCCCGAAGAGATGGGAAGAATCCTTAGCAATTCTTCGTTGTTCTAGTGTGATTGTAGATGCCTCCTTAGCGGAGGAGGATGAATCTCTGCTTGAAGATGTTTGAATTGAACATCTTCAACCCGTGGTGGATCTCGAGGGAGAAGAACTTCCTCCCATTTGTGCTAGTGCTGGTTGCCGAGTCTCTCGCAGGAGTTGAAGGATCTCGTTCTGAGATTCTTCCATCTTCCAGATTCTTTCTTCTGAAGAAGGTCATGAGGTTCCTTCTTCGGTAGCATTTTTTCCCCCATGATGAAAGGAGGTAGACATCGAGCATCTGTGATTCACGGATTGATTTTTGGATTGGTGGGAGTTGGAGCGGGAAGTTCCAACGATGCGACTACTACGCCTGTTAACCATTATAGCAATACTTGAAGTTCGTGGGATAGTGGTTCCCACAGACGGCGCCAAACTGTTACGGGCTATAATATACGTGGTGATAGAGTTAATAAATTTTCATCCGAGCGTTGTACGAATATTCATCACACAAACAGGAAATAAAAATGAACACCAAGATTTTTATGTGGAAAAACCAAAAATGGGAAAAACCACGGGGCCATACCCAGTTGAAAAGTTCCACTAGTGTTGCTTGAGTTACAAGAAACTGATTCGTCCCACAAGTTAGGACGATAAGATTTACAATGAATTTCTTCTGGATTGAAATTCGGTTACAAAGTTGTGCAGAATTCCGGCGTTCTCCCAAATAGGGCTGCAAACGAACCGAGCCGAGTCGAGTATGTGAGTGTTCATGTTTGTGTTCATTTAATATCAGCTTGTTCATGTTTGGTTCATTTTATCGAGCTTAATGTCGAGCTTGTTCACGAACTTCAAATGATGTTGTTCGCAAACATAAATGAGTCGAACACATTAGTGTTCAAGTTTGTTTATTTAAGAATCGAGTATTTAAAATATTGTTCAAGTTTGTTTGTTTAGTTAATTACACGATCTCAAACGAGCTTTAATCGAACCGAATAATGTGTAGCTCGTCGAACGTTTGGTTCACTTGCAGCCCTACTCCCAAATATCCGGCAGAATCCTGACGTGTTCGGGCGGCGGGAAGAACTCCGGCGGTGGTCGAGGAGGAGCTGATTCTCCTTCCCCTTCTCTTCTTCTTCTCTTCTTCTTCTTGCTTGGGGTCCCCTCTTATGAGAAATGAGTGGTCTATTTATAGTTTTTCTGGAGTGGCATAGCCCGTAAATAGGTGTGAGATCAGGGGCAAATAGGGAGTGGCCGAATAGACGGCTGATATTGAATCCTTCGATCTTGCACCGTTCATTGGACATTTGAAGTCCTTAGTGATGTTGGAATTCGACAATCTTGGGCTCATTGGATTCGTCTCGTCGAGCCGTTCGATTCGACGATAAGCTCGTTAAAATCGGAGACCGTTTGGTAACTCAAATTGTGGTACGAGATTTCCAACAACACTTCGGGCTCTTTATTTAGGCTCATTTGGGCTCGAATTGAGTTAAATTTGTTGTCGTTGGGTTTGTATTTCCGAGACGCTCAGTTTGACTATAAGCTCGCTGAAATCGGAGTTCAGATGCTCCCGGATTTAATTTTTGAAGTTTTCAAGTTCCAAGTTGATTTTTGTGCCGAGATTCGTGCTCGATCAAGATAATTTCATGATGACATATCAATAAAAAAGGAATAATTTTGTTAATATAAAGTGAATATAAAACCTATTGATATTTTAGGTGTACAATTAAATAAATAGATTTATGGGAAATTTTAAGGAGCCTGATAAAAAATTAAAATTATGTGAAAGATCATAATTTAAAAAATAATTAAAAGAAACAAACTAGCCAAATTATTTGACGTTTTCAATGGAAAATGTCAAATATAATTAGCCTTTTCCATAGAACTAGCCAAGCAATTTGGCTAATTCTGTGGAAAACACTAAATAGTTTGGCTTTTTTAAAATTAGTCAAACTATTTGACTAATTCTATTGAATACCTACATTTTCACTAAGTATCATTAGCAATGACATTGCTAATGATGTCAGTTAATGACATTGCTAATGATGCTAAGTAAAAATATTGGTATTCAATAGAATTAGCTAAACAGTTTAGCTAATTCTATAGAAACAGAATTAATCAAAATTTTGACATTTTTTATTAAAAACGCCAAATAATTCATGCTCCTTAAAATTTACTCCCGAATTATTATGTGTATTAAATTATTAATTATATATTTAGACAAGCCGTTTATATTAAAAAATAAAATAAAATCATAATTAAAATTAAATTCCGAAATCGATAAATTATCAAAACTATTAAAATTGAAACTGTGATCATATGGAAACCGAAATAAAAATCGACTTTAAATCCTTAAAAATAGAAAAAAAAAACCCCACAAAAATAGGATCGAAACTTTTGTTTCAAAATAAAATTAGAACTTTTGTCGGGAGAAGTCAAGAGGAGAATTAGAATTCACCCAGCAAGATGGTACGTTAGGGCACGAATCTTTGTTCTTCCGAAACAACTGTAAAGATTCACGCTTGGGCACCCTTTCCAATCCGAGGAGCTCTCAAAAGATCTGAAATTAGTTTGTGGCTTCGTCTTCCGGTTTTTCCCCGTCCCCATTGCGGATGTCTTGATCCCGATCACGATTCGTTTCGCCTTCAATCGCTTCTTCCGCGTACAGCTTTACGTGAAATGCACCGAGTGAGTTTATTTTGTTTTCCTTCTTTCTGTTCCTTTCAATTGAATCACCAATGACAAAAGGTTTTTAAGCTCGCGTAAATGGAACATAGACGTTTTTGTTTGGTTGTTTTTATTCAGAAGCCCTATTCAAGCAATTCTTCGGGCTTCTGTATTGGTTCCGTAGTTACTTGTCGTGAGGATGTCATGGGATGCCTAGGGATTTGATGCGTGCGTGGAATTTGTGAAAAATTACGTTTTTCAATCTATATTGGACGTCACTGCATCTAAATGCCCGGTTTGTTATCGCGGTTTATTATGGTGGGAACTTTGCGTTGTTCGTCGAAGTACTTTAGGTTACTGCTTTGAAAGATTAGCATTTTGTTAAATCCATCTTCCTTGTCGAGCTTTAAAATATGGTGTGCTTATATTCCTTTTATTCTGTCTAACGAACATGGCTGCTTAATTATTGTATATGAAGGTGCATGGAAGAGATTCTGGCACTTGATAGGATGTAGTTCGCTGCTACTGAGGTTTGCTCAGAGAAAGTTTTGAATTTGGTGGTGAGTTCTGAATTTCACTGTACGGAAGCAAAAAACTATGATGCTTGTGCTTTGATTGATCTTGCAGTTTTTTTAATAGAAGAAGAAGATTAATGTACCGACACATTTGTCTAGGCAGATACCCGGGTAAGTGCCTACACAGGTTGGGCAGCAGGTGTTTGGTTTATCTCAATTGGCTGTCAATTCATTGTCTTCCCAAATGCAAAGTATAGGCAATCATGCGCATAAAACGGACCCTGAGCTGTTGATCAAGCGCAAGAGGATACAGGATTATATGTGAGTCTAAATCCACGAAATGTGCTTCTTAAATTACAATTTTACTGTTACTTACTTTTATCTTATGTAATAAATCACAATGCTTTTCAAACATATATTGCTAAATACCGTGGTTTACTATCACCAATGATGCATCTTGTATCTTGTTTGAAAAATTGTTGATTGCTGCTTATGCTTAAGTGAGCTAGTCAGCTTGTACTATTAACTATGATAACTTTTCTTTAGTTTTTTGAGTAGCAAACAGGATTATGGTGCACTAGCTTTACTTTAGTTATTATTAGTAGATTAATATGAAAGTTTTCAAAAGAGTTTCATGATGTGGTTTGAAGTTCATTTTCCAGGCTTCACGATTATGCCTAAAATAATTCATATTTCAGAGAAGGAAAACTCTCAATGCTGTAGGACACCTTGTGTTTTTGCTTTGAAGTTCAATATTTGTTTTTTCATGGTTGACCTCGTGACTTCATCTACGGGGCAATAGATGTAGTTTTCTTTATTGATCTATGCACTATATTTAGCTTTTAACTTGTTACTACTAACCCTACGGTTCAAGATGGTTGTGACCTTTAAATTAATGTTGCTAACTGTGAGGTTCAAGGTAGTTGGGGGAACTCAAAATCCATGACAAATACTAAACAATTTAGCTAGTTCCAGTCCCTCTACTTACACACATGGTCTTGTAGTAGTCAAGCATTCATGCATAAACTATGATTATGTTTATTGCTAGTTATTCTGATTATTTAGTGTTCCATGAGTACCATGGCATTATGGTAAGCTCATAACTTATGTTGTCAGGACAATTGCAGAAACTAATTGACCAACATATTGCATCTAATTTGAATTGCATGTCCGTTGCTTGTTAAAATTCTAATATTTGTGTTGAAATTCATCTACTAAATCCTTTTACTTAAATCTATCATTCAAAGATTGTTATCTCAAGCTTTCTTTAGAAACTTTTTTTTTTAATGAATATTCTTCTTTTATAACCTTTTGATATAGATTCATCTTGTCGTATGTGTTTTTTTTAATCACAATTATGATGCACTTGTGGCACATGTATGGGAAAACTTTTAAAAGACTACTCATGTGAGAATGGGATCGGACCATCTATTGTAAAGGTTTGTGCAAGCAAGTTGATTGATAATTGCATAAAAGATGTGCTCTTAGATGTTTAGGCATGCAGTGTGTTGTTTAATTTGAAAGTGTTACTTATTATTTTTATATTTTATGAGGTTTGAAAATGGAATAATTTTATTCACTACTCAAGAATTGTGTATTTATAGATATATATAATTTACTTTAAAACCTTTGGGCAATATTAATATTGCTTGTTGGTGAGTGTATACCATGCCTTTTTGTTGCCATAATATCTGTAACTACTATGATGTTCGGCTAATAATTCAACCTTGCGGTGGATTATCCGCTTTTTGGCTAATGTTTAACATCTTGGATTCTATATTTTTAAAGGTTAAAGTTTTATATCGTTTGTAGAACTGCAGGTTGTATTTTAAAAGCTATGTATCTATGATGCACAAACACGGGCACAACGACATAGATACGACACGACACGACACAGACACGATACACTTTAATTATTAAAAATATAGGATACAGACACTAGTGGGACACGATATTATAATTTTATATTTTTAAAAAAGTGTATGAAAATTGAAGAAGTATAATATTATAATAATTTAGAAATAATAAGTCATTTAACTAGAATTTGTGTTTAAAATGATTAATATTAGGATATCAAGAGCCATACGTTGATGTAGTGTATCAGGCATTGAGATAGGAGGTGAAAATGCTGTCGAGAGTCGGGCATCGATGTTTTGCAGTAAGTATTGGACATTGATGTCAAAAGGACATCTGCCGTCAATGTTGAAAGGGCGTTGGTCGTCGATGTTAAGACGACGTCGGATAAAGATGAGCTGTCAAGTTGTGGGTGTAGAAAAGACTAGTATCGAGCATCAATTCTAAGAAAATATTAGACTTTGATGTTGGGATGATTTTGAAGTGTCGATATTATAATGACATTTGACGTCATGACATCGGGCATTATTGAAAAAATAAAAATTAAAAAAGAAAAGACATTGGGCATTATTGTGAAACCAAAATCGTGACCCGCCATTGAGAAATGAAAATGAGAATATTCGATGAATGGGGTATTGAGTGCAGACGATTGATTTGGTGTTATGGATATAAAATAAAAAGTTTAGTTTTTATATTTTAAATAAATAAAAAGTTTAAATACAAGAAATTATATTTAAAAAAAATCATAAAATATTTAAGTCATGAGTGTCGGACACATGTTAAATTTGTATTTAGTATTTTTTTAATCGAACACATTGATAATGTTGTCAACTCCCGAGGCATTGATAATGTTGTCAACTTTAGTTATTTTGTTATAGAGCATACATTCGACAATGATCATGGTCTCCTTTTACCACGTTTTTCTATACTGATTCTCAACTGTTAGATCGTCTTTTGTCTCTTATGGTAGCTGTTTAATCTGTTTTCAGCATTCAGCTTCTTCAGCGCAAGAGTTATAATCCGAATTCAGAGGTTATGCAAAGATTACCTGACATTGCTAAGCACTTAGAAGAGCGCATATTTAATGATGCAATTTTACAGGTAAAGTTTTTCAGTTAGTGTTTTTTATCAATGATAAGGATTTACGTGCTTTTTGGCGGATTGTGTTTTACTTCTATTGGACCTTTTCCGAGATTGAATACAGTTATCCGGAGTATGGTTTATTCTAAGAATGTTCATTGGATATTTTCATTTCTACATCTTTTAGAACATTTATAAACCATGCAGGGAGAGGATTATGGCAACATGTCATCAACAGCTATTGATCAGCGCTTGCAGAGAATAACAAGGTTCTCAAATAATAGTCAACAAGCTCATTATGTGCCATCATCATCTGTCAGTACAATGATACCGACGCCTGGCATGACCAGTTATGGAAACAAAGGCCTTACAGTATCTCAAGATAACACCATGATAACCGCCAGTGGTGCTGGTATGATGGGGCAAACTGCAGTGAATGTGGGAAATATTTTACCTAATAATAATGGACCAATTGGCATGGGACAAATTGCCTCTTTCAATGCATCCACTGGTATGGAAGCTATGCTTATACTGGCTTTTTTTTATTATAACTCTTGATATTCTTCTGTAGTCTTCTGCAATTACATCATATTTTTATACAGGGACGATTCCAAATGGATATCCGCCACAAACTGTAAATGTTATCCACAATTCTGGTGGAAATGGTATAGTATCATCTGTGGGCATAATGCGACAATCAAGTATGATGATCCCAACCCCTGGATTAAATAATCAGCAATCCATATCGATAAACTCAGAATCTTCCAATGGTGGTGGATTTTCGAATATGGATTCTCCCATGGTCTTGCAGCAACAACAAAAGCATTATGATGGAAGTCAGAACAACCGTTTACTGCATGGTGTTGGAATGGGAGTTGGTATAAGGTCCAACATACAGCAAAAATCTCCATATACTTTATCCAATGCTGTTATGAATGGAGGTATAAGTTGTTTAGTTCGGAGCAACATGCACCACATGAATGGTCCTACAGCCCCAGAAGGGTATCTTGGTCCAGTTTCTTATGGGGGTTCTCCAAAACCTTTGCAGCAACATATAGGTATGCAACAACATCAGTCTTTAATTACAGGTAACTAGGTAAGTGTCCCTTCTACCTCTGTTACCTTTTTTTGCCAATAATGCTGTATGGGCTTTTTGGGGCTGTTTGAAACTTTTTTCTGGTTCCCAGGCCGTCATCTGTGGTAATTTCTTATTGTTGGCTTTTTGTGTTTGATTGTATCTGATTTTTTGTCATTTTTGATCATTCAGCATCTATGTCGCAGCAAATGTTACCTTTAGCTGGTGATGGTTATCCTATGAACACTGCTGATCTCTCTGGGTCTGGAAACATAAATGGTTGTGGTTCAACTGCTGTATCAACAGTGAATTGTCAAAATTCAAACCCGAGCATAAATTCTAAGTCAAAAACTAATCATGGAATGCTTAGTCAAACGAGTTTGCCATCAATGCAACTGAAGCCTCAAATGCTTGACAGTTCGCGAAGTGTGAATTTCCAATCAACACACTCGACACTACAATCACTTCAGATGCAAAATTTTCATCATCAACAGTTTCAGCAGTCTAACCAGCCAAGTGTACTAGCTGTTCAGAACCAAAGATATCAGCATAATCAGATGCATCAACAACAAATTATATCAAATACGGATAACGTAAGGCATTTTTCCTTGCCTTCCAATTTTTCAGGACAGCTAATGTCTGCAGATGGTTTTGAATCCACTAATGAATCTTTGCTTCCACGTGTCAATGAACAATTTCATGTTTCCGAATTGCAAAATCAGTATCAGAAGAATACATCCTCTGGAAACCTATCCAAAGGTGCTCAACTGCTTGGTCAGATACAGGGCCCTCAGGATGTTCAGACCTTGTCTTCGCAGGTTTCACAAAAGCTTTGGGAAATAGAGCAACGGAATGCAGAATCACAAAACGAGCTTAGTTGTCTCTTTGTGAAATCACAAGTTGACGCACTTTCCAAGGAACATTGGTATTCTCAGCCTCCACAAAAATCACATGACAGAGAAAAAATTTCTTTTGAGCAGCATATGCAGAAGGAATTTCACCAAAGAATGGCAGGGAAGGATGAAGCACAAACACGTGAAACCTCTCCTGATGCTCATGCTTTTGTTGGACATGCTGCTGTGCCAGAATCCTCAAATAAAATGTTTCATGTCTCTGATAGGGAACAAGACTATTTTAAGCAGAAGAGGTGGCTTTTACTCCTCCTCCATTCTCGTAAGTGCACATCTCCTAAAGGACAATGTGAAGAAGTCAACTGCATTAAGGTTCAGCAGTTATGGATGCATATTGATACATGTAATTCAAAAAACTGCATGTTTCCACGATGTGCTCTATCAAGAAAACTGTTTAATCATTATATGAATTGTAACATAGCAGATTGTCCTGTATGCGTTCCTGTGCAGAAGTTTGTAGCATCCGTCAAAATGCGCAATCGAAAATGTTCTGATACTGGTGTCACAAACAAGATGAATGGTTCCTGGAAGAATATCATGTCCCCAAGCATGGATAAGGTGATGAGTAAAGAAGGTTTATCTCCTTGCGAAACAACTGATTGTCAACAACCTTCATCTAAGCGCATGAAAATTCAGAGTGCCCCTTCTTTTGTACCCAAGATTGAAGAATCATCTCTGATTTCTGCTCCTACAAATCAAATCAATGTTCCCAAGGAGAGGCAATCCAATATGTATCAACAAGTTGATGCAGCTTTGCCTTGTAAAAGTGAGGCATTTGAAGTGAAGATGGATACATCATTAGTAGACGGGTGTTGTCCTTTACCAGATACCAAACTTGATGTTATGTCAAACAGCGCACTTCCTGCAAAAAGTGCTGCTGAACATTGCCCTTCTGTTGAAGTTGATGCTTTTAACAAGAAGGAAATGCAGCCAGTAGGTAAAGAGCCTTCTCAAGCTAAGATGGAGATGAATCAGGAAGCCAACATGCCATCAACTGATCCTGCTACGGCAAGCAAGTCTGGCAAACCAAAGATAAAAGGAGTATCAATGACTGAACTATTCAGTATAGAGCAAGTCAGAGATCACATTATCAGTTTGAGGCAATGGATTGGGCAGGTTAGATTATGTGGCATTCTAGATTTCTCTCTCTCTCTCTCTCTCTCTCTCTCTCTCTCTCTCATGCACATGTGTGACAAATAGCATACAATATATGGAGTGCACTTTGAAATTCATAAAACTTTAAATTCATCAATAGTAGTGTAATTATCACTGATATAAGATGTTCTTTGAAGTTGTTTGCAATTTCAATATGCAATTTCTTCTAGGAAGCAAACTATCTAACATAACATCCATTTTCTATTAGTAATGAATGCTAAGTAAAATAGATGAAAACATAATTTCAATGAAAAAAATATACTGATCTCCTAATAGGAAATAAGATTGACAAACGATGATTATTAAAGTGTTATAAAATTAAGATTTCATGCAAATGAAAGAAGCCAAGAATGTGGTAGATTTGAATAAAATTAACACACTTACAATCCAACGACAAAATAAAGAGTGGGAAAAGATGGATGAAAAAAGAAAAGAGATAAGCTAGCATACCTCACACTATTTGTTTTAAAAGAACTTTTAGTTTCACATCTAATCTCAATGATCTTCGCCATGTAGCAGATGAAGAAGGCCATAACATCTAAAATCTCATGGAACATGCATTATGAATAACTAACCTTTGGCGAATCACCAATTTATAGATGTCGAGAAAAAATAGTTGTTTTATAATTTACACAAGTAGGAATCTTTGAAACTAATCAAGCTACAAATATAGAGCATATCAACATCCTGCTCAAATAGAAGATCATGGCATAAAGGCAATCATAAGCTTAAAATCTCATGGAATATAGTTGAGAGGCCAACTACTTCAACAGTTCCTATTCGCATGGGAAATACCTTGAAAATGATACATGCAAATATTGTTATGATGCTAAAATAGGAAGGTCTTCAAATTTTAGGAAATCACATAAAACAATGTCACCAGAAAAGAAATAGGGAGATTTTGCACCATTGATTATAGATGGAATTTTATATTCTAAAATACATTTATTTTAGACAGTTGAACGATTGGGTTAGGTTATGTATTCTTAAAATATTTTTTATCTAGGATACAGTATCTTTTATCAGATTTTAAGTAGATTTTCCCACTGTTGTGATCAAGTCATGACTCAAATGCCTTCAGCTTTGTTTTGCCTCTTTGAGTAGTGAGTAATGCTTGCCTTGGCTTATTTCTTTACTGGATTGGGCCAGAACTTTAATGCATATGCTAAAATATTTCATTTGTTGGGTGCATTCCTAATCATGTAATGAGGATTTTCATGTTTCAAAATAAAAGAAAAAAAAAAGTGTGGGAGGAGGAAGTAATAGCGTTAAAATCTACATACAGTAGAAGTGAGCCATTGCACCATCATTGTGCATCACATGTCTGCAATGTTCTTGTTGCTGGTGAAAAGCTCACTTCAATGCACTTACTCATGCGAGCAGGCAAAGCAAAATTGATGTATGAAGTTATGCAACTGATGAAAGATAAGATGCTTTATTAGGCTTAGCTTAATGTACCTAGTCACATAGTTTGTTGTCATGGATTCTAAGACTTACGTTGGTTTTACATAGTTTTAGGGGTTGCTTTTTTGCTATGACTATTTAACCTGTATTTGTGATACAAGGGTACTTTAGTCATTGCAACCTTTAGCTCCCTCTATTTAGGAGTTATGATTTCTTTTGAAATAAATGATATGAATTTCAAAGAAAGCTTCTCCCTATGCTAAATTCAACCAACTTACTTAGGATGAATACCTTGATAATTTGAGGTGCTAAGTACTACGCACTTCCTAGATCCATCTTATGTGAGTTTGGCTTTAAAAGAAGGTTTCATTTTTTCCTTCTTGTTATTGTCACTTTTTCATGCCGGTTTCTCAAAATCAATTTGTATTCTTGCTAGGTAGGTCTACTATGGAAGCCATACTTTTATTGAGAGGTTTGATGGAGAAGTAGAGAGAATAAGGAGGATCTACATATGATATTTATTGATTTAGAGAAAGCATATGTTAAAGTTCCAAGACAAGTGCTATGGAGAGTTCTAGAAAAGAAAATGGTTAATAATACTTATAGTAAAGTCATTAAGGATATGTATGCATGAACTGTTACTTCTGTTCAGACACAAGGTGATTTTACCAAGTATTTTTCAATTTCAGTTGGATTACATCAAGGATCAACCTTAAGCCCATATCTTTTTGTTGTAGTCATGGATGTTCTTACCATAGTTTAAAATTGCCCAATTAGAGGTGCGCCTCTATGCAATTTCACCCCTAGGCGCCTTATTGCTTAAGAAATTCTAGGACCAGGAGAGGCGTACGCCTCATAGAACCTGAGGCGCTCCTCAAAGGCGTAATTGCTCAATACGCCTCAAACAAACGGGCCCAACTCACTTAAGTGCCTAATAAAATACCCCATTCATTCCTCCCTAGTGTTCCTCGGCCGACCTGAACCACACAAAGCCACAAAGCCCCACACGACCCTGCCCTAGCGTCCCTCGGCCGACCTTCCCGCCGCCTCACGCCGATGAGCAGCACATGTCCGGCCGCCCTCTACGACACCTCTACTACCGGTTTTCATTTTTTTTTAAATTCAAGGTTTAATTTTTCAACTTATAGAAAATCTAGGGTTTAAATTTTTTTGAGATTTTTGGTTTGATTTTGCATTTGTGCATTAGGAAACATGGTTAGGGGCAAGAAAATGTCAAATACGTCATTGCGGAGGGATCATTCTTGGAAGTATAGTATACATGTTGACATAGGCGGCGACAAGAAGACATACGTGTATTTGAAATGCAATTTTAGTGATAAAGTGGTTAGGGGAGGAGTTACCTGCATGAAGGAACACTTATCCGCCTCACATAAAAACGTAGCATCTTGTGCGAATGTGTCAGATAAGTTGAAGGAGAAAATTACTACATTAAGAAGAGTATCACGGCCAAACATTTACAACATGAGCAATTTGATGACAGGGTCGAACATGATGCTTACTATGGGAGCGATAGTGGAAATGACTCTTCTTTCACTATACATAGTAGAGGTGCCCGGGGTCCTATGGAATAGTATATGATTAATCCAGGAGAGGATAGAGGAGAAGCATAGATGATGCTTGCGGCTGTTACCATAGAGGGTCGACGGCAGGTGTGCATGGATATTGACAGATTCTTTTTTGAGAGTGCCATTTCGTTTAATGTAGCGACATCGCCGGCCTAATTCAATATGTTGCGATCTGTAGGGTTGTATGGGAGAGGGTTGAAGGCAACATCCATGTACGGGTTGCGGACATGGATTTTGAAGGAGCTGTAGAACACAGAGCGAAGTATTGATGAGATTAAAAAGACATGGAGTGAGACAAGGTGTTACCATTATGTTAGATGGATGGTCTGTCAAGAGCAGGAGCATGATTGATATTATTGTCAACAATCCTTATGACACGATGTTTTTACGATCAGTTTAAGCTTCAGATGAGGTAAAAAATGCCGATTTCATTTTCAATTTATTAGATGGGGTTGTCGAGGAGATCGGGGAGCAATTGGTTGTTCAGGTGGTACCTGACAATGCCAGTGCATACAAAGCCTCACTTGTTCTTCCTTTGGATATGAGCAAAACTGGAACACATATAGTCAAGTGCAAACGAAGAGAAGAAATCGATTTTCAACACTCAGAATGAACTCCCTTGTGTATATTATGCACAACAATAGGTTGAGAGATAAGTGGTTGAGGAACAAGGGGTTGAAGGATAATGAGGATCCTTTGGTGTGTGATGATGTGGCGTCTAATAATGAGTGGTTCATAGATGATGAGACAGATTTATCATTATCAGACATGTAGCTAAAGGATCTAAGTGTGGATGTCTTGAGGGGTGAAGCACATCAAGCGGGCACATCCATTAGTATCACACCACATACATCCACTAGTACTGCAGCACAACAAGCAAATAATGGTATATCACAATTTCTTATGTGCTGTTATATTTAAAATATATGCAATTAACATCACACTAAGAATTCTTATTGAATAGGGAAGAGAAAAGTGTGTAAGATTTATGATGATGAAGATTTGCCATTCATAGATACAATTGGAGATGAATATGCCTCCACTAAAGACCCATTTAGTGATGGGACATGATTGGATTTTAGATATTCTTTCTTATTTGTACTTTGGGAGTTATGATAGACTTCAATTTGTAGTTTTGTACTTTGAATAATGCTATGAGATGCATATATTGTATCTATTTTATTGTTTTCCACTAAGTTCACTTCTCATTTAGATGTTTTTATTGTATCATAGACTCTTACTATTATTTACATGCTAGAATACTTAAATTCACATTTACGCAATTTTTCGTCCGTGAGGCTTATACCTCATACCGCCTCGAGGCTTACACCTCGCCTCGCGGATGAAAAACGCCTCGAGGCTTATTACGCAATTTTAAACCTTGGTTCTTACTAGAGATTTGCGAGAGGATGTTCCCAGGTGTATGTTTTTTGCTGACGAAATTCTTCTTGTTGATTAGACTAAAGATGGATTTGAAAGTAAACTTGAATTATGGAGGTTAACCTTAGAGTCTAAAGGTTTTTGATTGAGCAGATCTAAAATTGAATACATGGAGTGTAATTTTAGTAGTAATAGACTTAGCGGGGGTTTGTGACTTTGAGCAATCAAGTCATTAATAAGAGTACACATTTTAGATATCTTGAGTCTATTGTTTAGAGTGATGGCGAAATAGATGGGGATATTATTAGTAGGATTCAAATTGGATGGATGAAGTGGAGGAATGCATCAGGCTTGTTATGTGATAGAAAAGTACCACTCAAACTAAGGGAAAATTCTATAAGATGCTGCTTAAACCTACAATGCATTATGGCGCAGAAAGTTGGCCATTAAAAGAGAAGCATAATACTAAGTTAAGTGTTGCAGAGATGAGGATGCTCAGGTTGATGAGTGGCTTTGCTCAGAGACATGATACGAATGAGCATATATGTGAAAAGGTTAGAGTAGCTCTAATGGCAGATAAAATTAGAGAGA